TTGAGCCTGGGGAATCAATAATTATATAATGAAAGGTATTAACCTTTTCCCAGAAAAAAAAAAAAGAAGTGCTTGTAAAATTGAGACAAGCCTTTTCATTTGCATGTCTTTGCATGTTATTATGCACCTTATGTGGTGGCCTGCTGCTATGCCCAGCACTACCTAGGCAGCTTCTGCTACCACACGAAGACAGTCTGTCAACACGTAAACAAGCAGAATTCAGAGACAGAGAAAGACTTTCCAGCTACATGAGCCAATAAATTCTTTTTTGGCTCATTTGAATTTCTGTGGCTTACATTTAAAGCAAACTAATTTAGAAATGGGTGCCAGGAAATAGGGTGATACAAGTGACAGAACCTAAAATGTAAAACCTGTTTAGTAAAGAAAGAGGGCAGGGTAGGGAAAGTCTCCTCATCTGCTAACAAGAAGCTGGCACTTCTCATTGTGCAGTCACACCTATCGCCTTGGAAGTGAGACCACCTAACCAATGGGCCAAAGCTTTAAAGAACTTGCTATAAAAATGTCGGGATAATGGAAAGTGTTGGTTACTTCGTAGTGCCTTCAGGACTCCTACAAGAGACAAACTGGGAAGCTGGAAAGTAGAAAGGACACAGATGCAACTAGCTAAGAGGTGCACTTCTCTATTACTGCCAACCAGCCCAAAAGACTGAGAGTCAGGTAACCATGCTTCTTGAAGGAAAGTGGGAGATAAGACCAGGTCCTTGAAAGGGGAAGCTTGATCGCCTAGGGTCATGTCCAACATTTATGAATGTTAGATGAGTTCTTAGTTCCTATACTTATTTGATTTTAACCTTTTCATACAAATATCTATTTGAATTCTGTTCATATTTTTTTAAGTGTTTACTTTTTATATAACTGGGACATGTTCTGGATTCTACTTGCTAAAATTTTGACACAAAATATGAAGAAACATAAAAACGACAACATACACTTAAATTCCAAAATAAGCTACACAAACAAGGGGATAGTCACAGGAGTATGAATTTAGGAGTAATCCTCTGTCCACCTTTCTCACAACGTCCTTGTTCCTTGATCAGAACAAATTAAGGTCGCCCTGGTTTTATTTAGATGTAGAAAGTTAAAACAGCAGAGTTCCTGCCTCAAACCATCTCTTTCTCCACCTCTGGCCAACCCACATTTCTTCCATGATAATGAAAAGAATCTAACCTACTTCTTCTGTCCCAAGTTTAAACTTAAAAGACATATTCCCTGTGGGCATCGTATTAAACTGTAGCTATGTATTACTGAAGTGATATATTGATAAACTTAAGGTATATAACATAAAAAATAACTTTTAGAGTTGGCCTGATAATCTAATCACCAATTATAATATCTAAATTTAAAACCAAACATTAAAAAATCTCTATATAAGAGCCTTTTGGAACACAACCCCATCACAAAATAATCAAATGAATAGTTCCAAATTGACATGAAGTCGTTACATATCACAAGGAACACTTTAATTAGTGATTACTTCCATAAAACAATGTAATCCAATACCCCCACCCAGAAAATTGATAAAAATGTCATTAGGATTACATTTGATTCCAATTTAAAGATACAATTTTTACAAAGTTAAAGATAAGAGAAAATCTCTAAGAAAAGTACACAATGATCAAATGCCCATGATAAAAGTTTTAAAAAGTCAGAAAAGAGAAATGATAGCACCCTTTGTTCTACTACACTTACAGAATGAAGGAGCCCTCCGGACATATGCGATTGTAGTCTCACTTAGTCTCAATCCCACTTTCTACCATGCAGACAGAAGAATTTTTTTTTCTGAAAGCACCAAGCAAACCTCATTGCTCTCATGCCCAAAACCCTTTCGTGGCTTTGCACAACCACCCGGATAAAATAAAAACTCTTTAGGACAAAATATTCTTGATCTGTCTCCAGCCTACCACTCCTGTCTCTGGCCTTCTGTCTCTACCTCTCCTGAACCCCAGGCACGGGGATCGGTGTTCTGATGCCTCCAAGCCCGGGTACCCAGAGCTCCCTCTCTCCGGAGCCCTCGCCCAACACACTTCCTCATGCTTGTCTAAATGCCACCTCTAGCAGCCGTCTGCCCAGTTCCCATCTTCATTAGCTGGCCCTCCCACATAAGTACTTTTAGGAAAGAATATAAATTTGTTCTCTGAGAATAATGGTCATCAAGTAGAAAAATAAACTCTAATGTAAACTGGAGCAGAAAAAAGTAATTTCTGGGGTTAGGATGACCACAGGAACATGTAAATTTGTATAAAATTTAAGAGCCTGTACAAATATTAGAAATATATTTAATTTCTTGAATTTGGGAATTCATGAAGGTCACAGAAGGATATCATTATAATTAACCTAGTTTATTAATAACTGGAAAGGAGCAAAGGGAAAGCCAAACAGTATAGGCATGTCATTTGTGCGGCTTTAAGAAACTGCAATTTAACGCTTCCCAGGGGGCCACCAGTCACTTCCCCGCAGACCCTAGGGAAAGGAACTGGACAGAGGAAGGATATATGCATGCCCAATAAAGCCTGGGAAAGTATTTGCCAGTTACTCACACCTGAGAACAGGTCACTGGTCAAAGTAGGCATGGCCAAGGCAAGTACAGAAAGATATAAGATATTTAATCTTCTAAACAAAGGAGTTCCCTCTCTTGCTCTCTTGGGACTCCTTGCAGGGGGCATACTCTTGGTTCCCCTGCATTGCACATGTGGCCTTCAGCCACGTGGACCCCACCCAATGGACTGATGGCCTGCAACTAGCCTAATGCTGTACCAGACACAACTCCACCACGGAACAGAAACTGGTTGCTGGCTTTGCTTCCAGCACTGCTGAATCCCCAGCTGCACCACTTCCAGGACTGGATTAAGGGAAATGGGGCTTTGCAAACCCAGGAATATTAATTCCATGCAGATAAAACTTTCCATCACATCTCATCCTCCTTTGGGGGCCTCCAAAAATGCTTATTCCAACAGCACTTCAAGACCTCCACTCCCACTAGCAAAGGAGAAAGACCACCCATGCACTTCTCTGATAAACAACAGGCTATATCCCCTGTGGAAATCAAGGGTCTAGAACAGTATTGCAATGCCCATATTTTCTCACATGCTTGCTGAGTCTATGTGACTAATAACAGTAACATGTATACAGTATATTCTGCTACAACAATATCCACTATTAACACATATGTTCATAAATTTCTGTCCCCTTAGAAGTAAATCTCTCTTAAAATGAGGTTCGGTATTGAGTGTATTATTGTTATCATGTGTCTTAATTAACTTTGATACCTTTTATTCAAGCAGGATATTATTACTTCATTCTACTGGTTTAAGATGCGTTCTGTGAGAACTGAAGCATTACAGGCCCACAGGCACCGAAGAATCACTTTTCTCAGTCTCAACCTCTTTATGATTTGGGAGATACCATAGAAGTCAAAAACAAATAAATGCAGGGAGACAGAGGAGAAAAGTAAATCAAAGGAGCTCTGATTAAAATAGTATATCGTAAGGTTGGGACAAAAATATCAGGCAGTCTGAAAAATTTGAAAAAGCAGCTGAGATTTCTGCTGGCCTTGCAGAAGCCAAGAAACATGTTATAAGCTGCCAGTGGAGGGGGTCATATAGCAAGGAAGGAGAGCTTTTAGCAGCTAAAAGCACTCCCCAGGCAACATCAAGCAAAAATAAATGGGACTTCAGTACTGTATCTACAAGGACCTGAGGTTTTTATTTTTTAATTCTCACCCAAAGACATGCTTAGAAAGAAGATGGAAGGGAGGGAGGAAGGAAGGGAGGGAGGGAGGGAGGGACGGAGGGAGGGAGGGAGGGAGGGAAGAAGAGAGGGAGGGAGGGAGGGAGGGAGGGAGGGAGGGAGGGAGGGAGGGAGGGAGGTAGAGAGAGAAAGAGAGAGAGAGAGAGACTGACTGCCTTCCCTATGCTCCCTGACAGGATAAAACCCACAACTCAGATATGTGCCCTGACCGGGAATCAAACCAGCAACTTTTCAGTGCACAGGACTACGCTCAACCAACTGAGCCACTACAACTGGGTGACCTGAGTTTTGCTAACAACCTGTGAACTTGTAAGATCATAGCCCAACTGAAATTTTTATTTCATTATGTGAGACTGAGCAGATGCCCAACTGAGGCCTGGACTCCTGACCCACAGAAATGATGTGACAATAAATTTGCATTGTTTTAAGCCACTGACTTTGTAATAATTTGTTAAACAACAATAGAAAACCAATACATCATGCTCTATAATCAAAAAAATATTGCTCTTACATGTTTGTTTATACATTTTGTCCACATCAAACATTTGTTTTCTCAAATACCACCGCCTTTCTTATGTAATCTAGCAACAAATAAGCTTCTGTTTTCATGAAATCTGAAGACAAATTTGTTATAAAGCACTTTATCTCTGAGATTTAGTTGACTCAAAATACATCTAAAACTGAAAACTGAATTTAAAAGTATATTTCCTCTAAATTTTTGAAATCATAAGTTGAAAACTTACTATTGTAGAAAATACCATATTCTATGCTTAGAGAAAAAGATACACATTTAACATACTTACTTCTCAGTTTTTTAAGTTAATCATTAGAATATATTATATTGCAAAACATATCACATCGTGAGCTTCCTTGGGTGAATGTTATGGAAAAAAGAAACAGACCAATTTCACAATCGAAACAAATTATATAAGATTATATAATTATAACTTCTCCAACATAACAATGTTTTCATAGATAAATCTGTCATCTAGTAAAGTTGGAGGGAAAAGAGTTTGAAAGTATTACGCATCCTACAGTAAGAGGGCAAAATAAACTGCCAACTAGTATATTCAAATTGTCTCCTGTGCTTTCATCAGATAATTTGTTGTTAAATACATTTATAAACACCCAGAACAGAGTTTTACATTGTTAATTGTTCTAGTAAACCTTTTTTGTACAAACTACAAATAAAGTTTGATCTTTAAAAAAATGTCTATGTTAAGTTGGCCTACCTTCCATACTCAGAGTCCCCATTTTAGACTCCAAGAAATCAAATAACGTGCTTGGTGCTGATGGTCTTGCGTTTCCCAGTTCTTCTTCATCTTCAGATCTTATTCGCCCTCTGCCTTTTCCTTTACCTTAGGAAGTAAGACAAACATACTGTACATGTAAAAACAAAAAAAGAAAATACACTAAAATATAATTAGCAGATATCTTAAGTAGAATTTTGTACATATTTCTTTCCATATTTTTCTGTATATTCTACATCATTTATAATAAGCATTTTTAAACAATTGTATTAACAAGTATTTTAATCCTCTCAATGACCTATGTAGAAATTTGCATTTTTTCATATAAATTATCTTTTAAGGAAAAAAAGTGTTCATAAAATTTTCCTTTACCCATTTATTTTCGAAAAGAATATAGGAAGAAATTTTAAAATCACATAATACATTTGACAATGCAACTAAAAATCACATTATACATTCTACTATGCAGTTAAAGAATAATACTAAAATGTCATGTTCTTGTTAAAAAGTTGTACTCTTTAGTCATTTACACAGGTGGCACACTACTAGAAATAATTAACAGAACTTGTCACTTTATATTTTCTTTACTACTCTCATCACCCCTGTTAAATAAAGTCTTGTTAGACTGCTTCATATGAAGATGAAGACAATGAAATGCAGCATAACTTGCACATGTCTCTGTAGTTCTAAAATTAGAAGCACTTACCACAGTGGTAAATAAAGTTATAGCTGTCACAGCAACAAAACCCAGGCTCTGTCAACAACATATATTTCTCTGAAAAGCAAACAATACTATCTGGCACTTGCTTAACGGGTTATACCTCTCAGAGGTGGACCTGTAACAGGTTTCTGTTTATTGCTATTAAGAAGTACATTCAGTGCTGCTTCCAAGTTGTTGCCATTATCCATCAGGGCTTGCCTCGATGCCTCCTTACTAAAGCCCATCTCTGTTATGTGCTTCAGAGCCTTCTCATCAACCTGTAAGGAATTAAGAGAAAAGCTATGCTGTTAACCAATAAATAAAGCAAGGAGTAAGTTTTTAATTATTTATTGTTTTTGTTTCCTTTTTATTGAATTTATTGGGGTGACGCTGGTGAACAAAATTATATGTTTCAGGTGCACAATTCCGCAACACATCATAAGCACATTGTATTGTATGCTCTTACCGATAAGTCAAGTCTCTGTCCATCACCAGTTATCCCTCCTATACCTCCTCTACCTCTCCCCACCACCGGCAATCACCACAATGTTGTCTGTGTCCATGAGTTTATTCTCTTTTTTTTCTGTTTTGCTCAATCCCTCCACCCTCCTAACCCAGCTCACCATCCTCCTCCCGACAGTTGTCAGCCTGCTCTCTTGTCTATGAGCCTATCTCTATTTTTCTTGTTAGTTCATTTTTTTTTCATTAGATTCCACATATAAGTGAAATCATATGTTATCTTTTTTTGACTAGCTTATTTCACTTAGCATAATGCTCCCCAGTTCTATCTATGCTGTTGCAAAGGGTAAGATTTCCTTCTTTTTTATGTCTGAGTAGTATTCCACTGTGTAAATGTACCCCAGCTTTTTTATCCCTTCATCTACTGATGGACCCTTGGGTTGTTTACAAATCTTACCTATTGTAAATAATGCTGCAATGAACATAGGGATGCATAAATTCTTTCAAATTAGTGTTTCAGGTTTCTTTGGATAAATTCCCAGAAGTGGAATTGCTGGGTCAAAAGGCAGTTCCATTTTTAATTTTTTGAGGTAACTTCATACTGCTTTTTACAGTGGCTGTACCACTCTGCCTTCCAACCAACAGGACACAAGGTTTCCCTTTTCTCCACATCTTCACCAACACTTGTGCTTTGTTGATTTATTGACAGAAATTCTGACAGGTGTGAGGTGATATCTCAATGTGTTTTTAATTTGCATTTATCTGATGATTAATGATGAGCATTTTTTCATCTGTCTACTGGTCATCTGTATGTTCTCTTCAAAGAAGTGTCTACTTAGGTCCTTTGCCCATTTTTCAATTGGCTTATTTTTTGGTGATAACTTTTATAAGTTCTTTATAAATTTTGGCTATTAAACCCAGATCAGATGTATCAGTGTAAATGTGTTCTCCCATTCAGTGGATTCATTTTTCATTTTCTTGATGGTTACCTTGGCTGTGCAAAAACTTTTAACTTTGATATCATCTCATTTGTTTGTTTTCTTTTATTTCCCTTGCCCAAGGAGATGTATCAGAAAAAAATACTGCTACGAGAAATGTTCAAGATTTTATTGCCTGTGTTTTCTTCTAGAATTTTTATGGTTTTGAGTCTAACATTTAACTCTTTAGTCCATTTTGAGTTTATTCTTGTGTATAGTGTAAAAAGGTTGTCTAGCTTCACTGTTTTCCAATATTCCCTATACTATATATTACCCCATTGTATGTTTTGGCCTCATTTGTCAAATATCAATTGACTATAAAGGCGTGGGTTGATTTTGTTGAGGATTTTAGCATCCCTGTTCATCAGAAATACTGGCCTATATTTTTTCTTTATTTGTAGTGTCTTTATCTGGTTTTGGAATTAGGATAATGCTTGACTGGCAAAATGAGCTTGAGGGTCTTTGCTTCTATTTAATTTTTTGGAATAGTTTGAGCAGAACAGGTGTTTGTTCTTCTTTGAGGGTTTGGTAAAATTCACTTGTAAAGCCATCTGGTCCAGGGCTTTAGTTTGTTGGGAGTTTTTTTTATTACTGTTCCAATTTCACTAGATGTAATCTGTCTGTTTGAATTCTCTGATTCTTCCTCATTCAGTTTTGGAAGATTGTATGTTTTTGAAAATTTATACATTTCACTTTGATTGACCAATTTATTGGCATATAGTTGTTCATAATATTTTCTTACAATCCTTTGTATTTCTTTGGTGTCAGTTGTTAACTCTCTTTCATTTCTGATTTTATTTATTTGGGTTCTCTGTCTTTTCTTCTTGATGAGTTTGTTAAACTTTTGTCAATTTTGCTTATTATTTCAAAGAACCAGCTCTTGGTTTCACTGATTTTTTTTTTTTTGTCATTTTTTTTAGACTCTATTATGTTCATTTCTCTTTGATCTTTATTATTTCCTTCCTTCTACTCACTTTGGGCTTTGTTTGTTATTCTTTTTCCAGTTCCTTTAAGTGTAAAGTTAGATTGTTTATTTGAGATTTTTCTTATTTCTTAACATAGGCCTATAATGCTATGAATTTCTCTCTTAGGACTGCTTTCACTGTGTCCCAAAAATTTGGGGTTGTTGTGTTCTCATTTTCATTTGTTTTAAGGTATCTTTTGAATTCTTATTTGATCTCACTGTTAACCTATTCATTGTTTAGCATTATATCATTTGGCCTCCAAGTTTTTGTTGTTTTTCATTTTTTTACTTGTGATTGATTTCTAATTTCATACCATTATGGTCAGAGAAGATGCCTGATGTAATTTCAATCTTCTTAAATTTATTGAGACTTGTTTTTTGTCCTAACATGTAGTCTCCTAGAAAATGTTCCATGTGCACTTAAAGAGTGTATATTCACCCGGCTGGTGTGGCTCAGTGGTTGAGCATTGACCCTGCACCAAGAGGTCGCTGGTTTGATTCCTGGTCAGGGCACATGCCCGGATTGTGGGCCAAATCCCCCATGGGAGGCATGCAGGAGGCGACGAATCGATGTTCTCTCTCATCGGTGTTTCTATCTCTCTCTCCCTCTCCTTTCCTCTCTCTAAAAAAATCAATAAAGAAATAATATTTTTTAAAAAGAGTGCATATCCTGCTTCTTTGGGGTAAAATGACCCAAGATATTAATTAAATCCACCTGTCTGGTGTGTCATTTATAGCCACTGTTTCCTTGTTAATTCTCTGTCTGGAAGATCTATCCATTGATGTCAATAGGGTGTTAAAATCCCATACTATGATTGTATTACTATCACTCTCTCCCATTATGCCCATAAAGATTTGCTTTACATATTTAGGTGATCCTATGCTGAGTGCATAAGTGTTTACAAGGGTTATATGCTCTTGCTGGATTGCTCCCTTTATCATTACATAATGTCTTTCTTTGTGTCCTAATATAGCCTATGTTTTAAAGTCTATTTTGTCTTACATAAGCACTGCTATCCCAGACTTTTTGTTTTTTTTAAATTTCCAGTTGCATGAAATATCTTTTTCTATCCCTTTACTTTTAGATTGTGTGCATCTTTCCTTCTGAGGTGGGTCTCACGAACAGAGCATAGATCTTTTGACTGAAGCATTTAAGCCATTTATATTTCAAGTAATTATTGATAGGCACATGTTTATTGTCATTTTATTTTTTTAACTATGTTCTTATCTTCTTCTCCTTCTCCTCCTCCTCATTCTTCTTCTTCATCTTAGAGGAGGCCCTTTAACATTTGTAATAATGGTTTGTTGTTAAGAAACTCTTTTAGCTTATTCTTGTCTGAGAAGCTCTTAATTGGCATGAATATTCAGTGATAAAAAGCAAGGACCTACAACCAAGATTGCTTTTACCAGCAAGTCCATCATTTACAATTGAAGGATAAATGAATAAATGAATGTATTGTTTTCAAAATGAAAATTGCATCATATGATTATGGGGAAAAAATGCCATATTAATAGAACATTCGCTTGCTATTTTTTCATACCAGTAGCCAAGGAAAAATCCGCATGATAGGTAGGACTGTGTGTTGAGTACTCTCCGACTTTACAAGTACCATTACAAATGCCAAACAAAAGTAGAAATTTTATATAATGCTATAATAATGCTTTTAAAAATAATAGGCAATGATAATTACCTAATTAAACTTTTTCATGGTTAATACTCCTCCATTCTAGAAAGAAAATATAATTTATACAGCACCTCTCCAAAAATGAAAAACATAAAATGAAGCCAACAAAATGATACCATATCAGTAGCTTTGTGTTTTTCTACTCTCTATGGTTGCACCATTCTGCTGTATATTTACTAGCAATACCATCTGTGATGCTTTGACAATCTGCACCCAGAATCTGAAAAACTGCTTTACAAATGCCAGAACCCAAACTCTCCTTGGAAAATCAGACCTGAGTACAGGTCAAGAATTGTTTAAGTAACATAAACATATCCCATGAAGAAATTTCTTGAGCCATAGCCAGCTGAAAATTCATAAATAATGTTTCTACATCAAAGAGTTAAGATAGCTAAGCTTTATGATATACATGGCATGCATGTTGCAGATATTCACTCTGATACCCATGCGGACATTGATAAAAGAACAGTATTTTTGTTTCCAAACTGACTGTATTCTTCTAAATACAGCAGCTATTATAAATAGATCAGAGTTGACTCATTAGAGAAAAAATTCTTTTCCTGCTAAAGTAAATGTGTAAAGGGCTGGACATCAAAACCATGATTCTTTGAGGCTCTGGCAAAGTAGCTCAGTTGGTTAGAGCATCGTTCTGATATGCCAAGGTCACAAGTTTGATCATCAGTCAGGGCACATACAAGAATTAACCAATGAATGCATAAAGAACTAGAGCAACAAATCAATGCTCCTCTCTCTTCTGGTTTCTCTAAAAATCAATCAATAAATAAAATTTTTTGAAAAACTATAATTCTTTCTTCTAATTCAAAAACATATTAGAATGTAAAAATAATCAAACTTTCCAAATCTTTTCTCTAATTATCTACCAAGTAAATATCTAATTAAGAACTTGTTGCATTCCAAAATGGGGACAGAGTGAATGGAAGCTACACAGACAATCAACCAGGACAAAACTGGAATGACAACTAAAATAAAGACAAATCGTCGGGAAAAAGCAACAGAAAAGCAGCTTGCAAGGACCATATAACCAGGGACACTGAATCGATCCTGGTAGGATAGCAGAGGCACAAGAAGAGGGCTGGGAGCCCATGAACAGCAGCAGTCTTAGCTGTGAGCAGCGCCCTCAGTGTTAAACTCCCAAGCCCGCTCCACAGCACAGAGAGCCAGACAGAGCACTA